AATGTTGTTGAAATAAACACTGATTTATTTTACATTCACTCATGTATTATTCATGAATAAAAAAATAATTTTCGTTCGTCTTATAAAAATCCATGAAGAAAGCAAATGTATTGTTACTTTTCCCAGTACTAATTGCAAGCAACATTTCTCTGTGTATAATTTCATAACGTTTATTTGTAATTATAAGTAAAACAGTTTGGGATGTCAGTTGGTAGATGACGATAAATGGGTATTTTACCCTAATATATAGATAAATAAGCCAATACAGAAGGTATATTGAATTTTATTCTCCATCTCTGCAGATTATCAAAGGAGATAAGAGAATTAGAGTAAAAACATAAAAAACTTACCGGCAAATGTCAGAAAAGTCACTTGTCCACTCTAGCCTTTTGACCATCCTATTTTTTCTAATATAGGTGAAAATTCTGGTGAACGTTACGGAGGACACGAAGAACGTGACATTGCACTCGGTCGACCTGAAAATCGACACCAGTTTCACGAATATTAAGGAGTACTTGGCCAGCAGTAACCGAACAGATAAGGCCCTGCGAATCGTTGAGCAGACGAGCGACATCGAACGCCAGTTCTATGTGATTAGAACCACGGACACGTTAAGGAAGGGCAGCCAATACGTGGTGTATCTGAAGTTCTCCGGTGTTTTGAACGACTACATGCAGGGCTTCTATAAAAGCTCGTACACGACGGTCGACGGTCAAACGAGGTAAACGCTCCTACCAGCAGCAATTTCATTCTAAATACGTACCACTGTAGGTGACAGCTATCCGTACGCCGGCGAATTTAAGCCGCTTTATCAAGCGATATTTGCAGTAGTAGCGGCCAGATGATTGTGATCCGTTTAGAACGCGGCGAGTTAGTCATTTCTAAAACTTATTGTGGATTGAAACATTACATTTAATATACAGGGTGTCCTAGACTATCTGTACACCCTATTCTATTGAAATGAACTAGGAAAGTAAACGAAAGTATAACTAGGATTAATTTTGGAAATGAATAGGTATTTAATATTAGTTCATGTAACTTGAAAAACGAGTGTAAAAGGAAAAGTATTTAACTTTTGTGTAAAGTTCGTATTTAAACACCACCATTCTTGGAATTCATATTTTTTAGTTTGATTATTAATTCGTCGTCGAGTGTTGATTTTTGGTTAAATTTTTTATCTTAAGTTCATAATATTTTATTTTTTATGATTAAAAGTCTGCAGAANATGCCCTATGCGATTTTGAGGAACGAATTAATTAATTATCCTACTTCGTTTTTTCTTTTATTCGAAAACCACTTTAATCAACCTAGTTTCGATTTTCTTTCTTTTTTTTAGTTTCAATTTATGTCGACGTTTAATAAAATATATTGAAAAATTGTAATTAAGATTGATATATGTATTGAAAAATTAACAGTACCATTGACAAAGCTTTCAAATTTTAACTACAATTAAATGTTAATTGTAAATAAAGCACTGAGGAAATTTTAGATATTTCGGAATTTTGCTATTGAAGAAGTTATATCTTGAATTCTTATATTGAATGGCAAAATTTTGATTTCGTTTATGAAGAAATATAGATGCAACAATGAACAAATTTGGTACTTTTATTCAATTGTTAATACATGTTTCAAGAATATTTTAAAGTTGAAGTAATATTAACTTTGAGAATGTTATTTAAGATAGACAATGAAAAGGAAGCAAAAATGTGAATTATAGGATTTATAGTCAGTTGTAAGTTAAGTTCAATTCTATAAAAAACCGTGTATTATAATATTAGAAATTATACGTTAGAAATTGGCTATGACTTAAAAAAACACAGCGAAAACTTTTACAAACCTTACTTCTCTAAATATAAAAGTTTATCACTTCAAATGTAGCTCTATATCAATTTTTTTTATACTTGATAAATAGCTTTCCATGACGCCTGTTAAATTTTTGTCACAGATTTTGTGGCTCATTCAACCTTAAATTCTTCTTCGACTTGTCTGCTTCCAACACACGATCAGTGAGCTAAGAAGCTTATCATCGAAGCTAAAGAGTATCGTAGTAGTATAATCGTAAGACAAGAAAAAAAAATGGAACATTGCATTCAGCATGATAAAATACAATTACGCAAAACAATTTCTGACCCAGTTGGAATGAACATATGCAAACATTAAATTTTCATTATGCAGCATCAACTTTCATTACGACTAGACAAAATATTTTAAAGAACAAAGATTTTATCACTTTCTCAGGAATTAATTTATACTTCTCGGATCTCTAACTTTAATTTAAGTCGTGTTTCATCAAAGCCTGTACAGTGGAACTTGAAATATAAAAGTTTTCCTTTAACCAAAGTGACAAATGTCAGAAAAATTCAAAGACTGAGATGAACTGCAACTTAGTACGCTTTCAGCTAGGATTTTAATTTGAATTTCTTCGAGTTCGAATATTGTTACACGAATTATTCCACAAATCCCATATTACATTATTCTGTGATTATGTTCGTTAGGTTTTGAAGTCTGAAGATTAGTTCAAAGTCCAAGATATTTAATTCAAAATTAATGATTTAAAATAGGTTTTTATATATTTCAGTAAATAAATTAGATTAAATCGGAAAAGGTTAAAATTGTTCACATCTGTTGAACTCTCAACCACGAGCAGACAATGAACAGCACTTACACTAATTTAAGTTCTGCATGAGCGCGTGTCAAGTTGGTCGGGAATCGTTTTGGTTAGCTGTACTATCGCGCGAGTTAAAATTATACGAATAAGAGGCGTCGAAATAGTTTATTTTAAACAAACATAATTATCCTGGATATAGTAATCTGAAATATTTATTAAATTAAATGTTATCAACCTATCGAATATTTTCTACTTCTTGCAAAGAAAAGAGTCTGACAAGATCAATTAAGTTATTCTCACTATTTTTATAGAAAATAATCAATTTCAATCTCTACTTATTTTTTAGTCTCATTGTCAGAAAATAAAGAGACTCGGACTCAGAAGCAATTATAACAGATTCCATGACCCTGCTACGAAAATCTGTATTTTACAATCTGAGATATTAGATTCACTGTTATTAAGCTATCGAATAACATTTATTTCGTGCAAAGAAAAGAGCTTGAAAACACCAGTTAAATTATCCTCACTGCTTTTATAGGAAATAATGAATTTCAGTCTTTGCTTTTACAAGTCTACATTTTTTATTATCAGAAAATAAAAAGCTTCAGAAAGAAGTAAGACAGTTTCCGCTGAGCTGTTATGAAACCGATTCGACTAACTAGTTTTTACTTGACGTTCACGTTAACAGACACGTGTCACGGTCGTGTCGGTGAGAAAGTTCTCGTCTGAGAATACAAAAAAATCTGGGAGGAAGAAGAAGCGTTTCGTACCTCGCCATGGAAAGTGAAGTTTCCGGGTTGTATAAACGGTGTCAGCCTGAGCTCGTACAAGTCGGGAACTACGGATCTCGGTAGCCGTACGTCGAGCCGTTTCTTGCCGAACGCGTTCCCAGTGAACACGCCGCGGGCCTCGAACGCCGGGCTGCTTAGATCACCGGCGCATTTCTCCTCGAGGCACGGCGCGAGATGATAGACCAGCAGCCCGGTCACTACCAGCGATATGATGAAGGCGGCGGCCAAAAGGAATGCGCCGCAGGGCGACACCGTGCAACCCCTTTTACGTCCGAACGTTGTCGTGTGCGCGTCCATCATTGCCAAAACCTCGCGGGACTGGGTCATATCATGTGCAAACCTGTAACCGAGAGGCAAGGAAGTCAGGCGAGTCGTCTTGATGGGTATTCCAGCACCCTGGAGGGCACAATGGCGAATCTTTTGATGAAAAATTTTAATCGACGTGAAGAAAATTGACTTGAGGGACAATGAAAATATTTTGCAAAAATCATTTAGTAAGTTTTTGTACAAAATTGTATGTTCTGTACAAAAACAGACAATATCGAATGAAAAATTAACATAATGGCTTTCTTATGTGATGATGTCAAAATTTTTAAATTAATTCAAAAACAGTGGCCCTCATTAATATTTGGGCACACTTCACCACAAAACAACCTTTTTAATATTGAAACAATCAACTTCATTC